GCTGCCGCCGACCAGCCGCTGCCGCCCCCGGGCAGGGAACCCGCTTATAAAGGCGGCGCTGCCCGACGGGAGGGGCTTCCCAGGGGTGGGGCTGGCGGGAGCGGGGAGGAGAGGAGAGGGGAGGGGGATGAAAGCGGAGGTTGGCGAGGTGGGGATAGGAGGATGAAAGCGAGGGGAGGGAGCGCGCGAGAGGCGGGAGGGAGGACAGGACCAGGAGGGGGAAATGGAGAGACTGACGGTCGCGGAGAAGGGAGTGGGGCGAGGAGGTGGGAAGGGGTGGGGTTCCTGCGGGGAGGGACCTCTCCGAATCCCGACCTACTATCTGCGAAAGTGGAGTCTGTCTTTTGGGGGCGGACTGGAGGGATGGCCAGAATCCTACTGACCCTCCCCACCCCCACCCCCAAGAAACCCTGAGATTTTGCCAAGGGATGGGGTGGGAAAAGCAGATGGAGAGGCCGGGCAGGTATTTGAGAAACCAAAAGCTTAAAGAAGAGGAAGAGGGTGGCGGGGATACTTCCACATCACGCTGGCTTTCCCCTCTCGTCTTGCATCTCCTTTCTCTGGGTGGCCTTAAGAGGGGATGGGAGGGCCAAAAGGGCAACCCACCCTCTGTCCTGCCCGAGGCTGACTTTTGTGAACCCGCCTGGGTTCCTCCCTTCCTGGATCTTTCTGGAGATCTAGAGGAGTCAGAGGCCCTCCAGGCTCCTTCATTCTTTTCCATCTTGGACCGCTCTTATTCGCCCATCTCATCTCACTCGTCTTTGCCTGGTCTTTTTCTCTTCATCCCTGCTCATTCATCTGTACCCAGACCCCTCCCTCACAACCATTTATCCTTCACGTCTCTCATTCTTCTGTTGCCTCTTCTCCACTTCTCATTCCCCTCTTCAACCGTCCCATCTCTGATCTCCTTCCCCCCTGTCCGGGACCACACTGTTCCTGTATCATTCGAGTCTGACACCTGGCCCTATACCCTTCGAAGATTTCCCCCAATTCTTCTCTTCAGGTCCTGATTGATCTACCTTTTCCCTCTCTTTGCTTTTCTCTTTCCTCTGCTGCCATCTTCCCCAGCCTTTCTGGATTGTATTTGCCTCCTTTGCAAGGTCTGGAGTTCCCACCCCACCCCGTTCCACTCATCCTCAGTTCCTGGCCTGCAGTCTCAGTATCTTTGGATCATTTTGAGAAGCTTGGGGGTTTCAGGAGCTGGGTGTATTAATGGTCAGGAAGGTGGATGGAGTGGAAGGCTAGGGTTTGGAAAAAGATATCCTTGGTGTGTGTGCCCTCCCATATTTGTCTATCATTATCATTATTTGTCTTATCATTTTCATTCTCTTAACAAGAAAGACACACTGATCAATCATCATCATTTGGTATCTGAGTGCTTAAATATGCCATCTTTTGGTCCTATGGTGTTCACACCTCCCAATTTCTCTTTCCCACTCTTCCTATCAGTTTCTCAGTCTGCATCTCTTCAAAAATCTTGGAGCCCCACCCAGGTTTTTCCTTGCCGGACTCTGATCATCTTTCTTTGAGATCTTTCCATCTCTATCTCAGTCTGTTTCTCTGACTCACTCACTGATGTCTTTAGCGATCTCTGACCCTCTCCATCTCTGTACTCTCCTGCTTCATTTCTCTCCCTCTCCCCTCTCCTTTACCCCCCACCCAGTCTTCCTGTCTCGCTCCCTCCCGTCAGTCTCTTTCCTCTCCCTCCCACCCTCCTTTCCTCTTCCCCTTCTCCACCTCCGAGCCCCGCCTGCCGTCTCGGACACCCTGCTGGGCTCTTACCCTGTTGCCCTGGTAACCGCCCCCCACTCCGGTCACCTCCACTCCCCTCCCCCCCCATCACCGCTACCAACAACCTCCATCCACCTTCCTCCTATTTTTCCTGAGAGCCAATAGAAACACTGTTGCCAGGTGGAATGCTCATTTGAATCAGCCAATCCAGGAGTCTAACTGCTTGCCCTGCCTTATATGGGGATTTGAGGAGGGCCACTCCCCCCACTCCAGCCCCACAGGGGACCAGCCCCTCCACTGTCCTTTCTCCCAGCCCTGGAGAGAGCCTGGGACCCTCCCTGTCACCCTCATTTAAGGGCCTGGCCTCCCATTTCTCAAACTGGGACCACCGGGGTTAGCGTGGGGAGTGGGCCGAACTGTGGGCTGGGCCTCTGGGCTGGGGGTGGGAATGAGGTGTGATTAGGAAGGGGAGGCGGAGGGAGCCGGGAATTTTGCCCAGGGAGGGGTGTCTGGGAGCGGAGGCAGCTGCAGTGGAAAATTCCAGGGAGATGGAGAGGCAGAGAATGGGAATCCTGCCCCAAGGCCCAAGGGAGTGCCTTGAGAATCTAAGAGTTTGGACACTAGGGTCCCGAGGGACCACAGGAAAAAGATCCAGGAAGCAGAAGGCCTGGATCTAATTCCCTTCCTGCACAGGGAGAAGCATCTCTTATCCTTTCCTGCCTGGTTGGACAACAGACCCGGCCTCCTGACGTCTGGGCTTCATGAGAAAGAAGCTAGAAGTGGAACTTGGGATGAATTTGGAGCGAGTGGGATGCTGAAAGCCTAACCCCATAGTCCTTAGGGTTATTGTCTGGGCCTCTGGGGCCAGTGGTGGTAAATGATGCCAGCTTGTGTGTGCTCCTTCCAGAGAACTACTTCTGGGACCTTGTAGAGGCTTTCCTATTCCTAGAGTTCCATTACTCCTCAGTCCAACTGAGAATTTCTCCCACTAGTTGAATGGGGAAACCTGGTGCTTCTTACACATTTTCTGGAGGTGGGAAGAAGGAAGCCAGTTGAGAACGAGGGAGGCATGAGCCCCCTGGAGACCATGACTGCTGGCCTGACATCCTAGAGATTTAACTCACTACTGTGTGAAAGGTGTTCAATCCTAGCTCTTGCCATCTCATTCTTAAGTGAATTCTTCCTTGTCTCCAGCTTCCTGAGTTTTTTCAGCTTGCCTGTTTTTCTGATAAGTTAAGTGCTAAGGAAGCCCTGGTGATCCTTGGAGGCACTGGACGACAGAAACCTGAAAGTTGAACCTCCCCACTCCTCACTGTACTTTTTTATCCCCATTCCACTTCCAGTATAACTCATTCTCTTATTCCTCATTTTTCATTTTCTTTTTTTTTTTTAATCTTTTCAAAATTCAGGTCAGTGGAGAGTTGAGAGGAGAGGGACTCCTAGAGAGAGACCTAAACCAGCCTAAATTTGATCATGTTTGCGTTTGTTGCCTGCAGGAGTGTTCCTTAAGAGAGCCTCTTCACAACACTCAGGCACATCCATCAGGAACACTACCCTGTCACATTGTATTAAGTAGAGGTAAACTTTTTTCATTCTCAGTTTTCTTTTTGCCCTCTGCACCAAGCTTGAACTCTTGCACTTCAACAAACTTAGGGAGCTCCTCCTCAGTGTCAGACACTGTGCTGTATGATGGGGACACGAAGCTGAAAAAGAGATGGTCCCTGCCCTCAAGGAATAGATGGAGAGAGCTCAAAGTACAGCCTGGAAAGGGACAGGCAGGGGTGCCTGGGTGGCTCAGGCAGTTAAGCATTGGCCTTCAGCTCAGGTCATGATCCCAGGGTCAGCGGGGAGCCTGCTTCTCCCTCTCCCTCATGCCACTCCCCCTGCTTGTGCTCTCTCCACCCCCCCACCCCTGCCTCAAAAAAATAAATAACATCTTTAAAAATTAAAAAAAAAAAAAAAAACACCTTTGAAAAGGGACATGCATCCAGCACTCTTTCCACCAGGCAGACAGCCCACTGTCTCCATGGGTACACTTTTCTAGAATGCCTCCCGGATCTCTCCTGATTTTACAAATCCTTATCCATTGTTCCCAGCTCGGAACAGCCTCCCGTGGTTCCTCCACCCTTACTGATTGTCTCCTTCTCCTGTGCCTAATAACTACCACGATGCTGGGCACCAAAGAGGAAGAGCTCAATAAATCATTGACTTCGTAGCCCTGACACACCATTTTGGCCTCATTCGCAGAGCCCTCTCAACATTCTCTCTTTGAGTAGCCCCACTCTGACTTGGGGTCTTGTAACTACTGATGTTGTGGCGGCCACTGTCTTTTATGTTATCATCACAACCAAAAGTTACGTGGCTTTCCTACTTCCCTGGGAATCCTCTCCCCAGCAAAAAGAATTGGTTTTACCATCCTACATCTCCTCCAGATGTTCTGATTGGCTTTCTAATTCTCCACACCCTCTTCCTGACCTCCTTCATTTTTAGATCGAGCGTAGTTGCCACTGCCCTCCTTTCAATTTCTCCTCCTTGCATACGCTTTTCAGAAAGCCTTCACGGGCCTTCAGAAAAGTCCGGAAGGAAGATCACAATCTATAGATGCTTTCTGGCTCTGCCCAATAAAATTTACCGTGACGATGGAAGTGTTCCATATCTGCACGTTCCAATACAGTGGCCACTAGCCACGTGTGGTTACTGAACCCTTGAAATGGGGCTAGTGCAGCTAAGGAACTGCATTTCTTAATGTCATTTAATTTTAATTAAATTTAAATAGCCACCTGTGGCTAGTGGCTACCATATTGGACAGCAGCACCACTTTAGACCTCAGCCATAAACTGTCTCTTCTTTTTCCATCTTCTTGCCCTTCTCCATCCCCAGTGTTCTGTGGGTAGAATGGCGAGAGCAGCTCTGGCTGCCGTGTTGAAGGTCATCTGGGCCGCTGTTGTCATATACTTTACTGTAGGTGCAAGTCTGTCCAGGGTTCCCACACTTTTAAGGGTTAAACAGACCAGGTGCCTGAGGCAGAGGACAGAGAATAGAAATGAAAAGTCTAGAAATGAAATGTTATCTGGAGTGACAGTTAGGGACTCCTTTGGCCCAGAGGGTAAAAGACGGAGGGAGGACTCAGGAACCGGGAGGAGGCAATGACAGTGGTGCCTGAACACTTCCAGGTGACTCCAGTCTCAGGGGTCCGGTTCTTACCCTTCACAGTCTCCCTTAGCGATTCCACATGGACTTTCCTGGTTTTCCATCCCATTGCCAGCAGAAACTTCTAACGCCAGGGACTCACGATCCTCCACCTCTAGCGCTGCGACTCCTTCCTTCTGGTCATCAATCCCTCGATGCTCTGGAGCTCCTCAAACCCCACATGATCCAACTGAGATTCTCTCACTTTCCAGTTCAGTTAAAGGTACTATCCTCCACCCATTCCTTCCTGCCAGGGGGGCCACCCAAGACCACCTTTTCTTTCCCTCCCCAGCTCCTCTGCATCTGACTTCCTAAAGATTCCTTGAGTGCCTCCCCTTCTCTCCAAACTCAGTCCTGTCTCTGTTCCAGGGGTCAACATCACGTGCTGACTTAATTCATTCGAGTTTCCAACCATGATTTAAGAATTTGTGTATCTTGGGCGCCTGGATGGCTCAGTTGGTTAAGTGACTGCCTTCAGCTCAGGTCATGATCCTGGAGTCCCTGGATGAGTCCTGCCTCGGGCTCTCTGCTCGGCAGGGAGTCTGCTTCTCCCTCTGACCCTAACCCCTCTCATGTGCTCTCTCTCATTCTCTCTCTCTCAAATAGATAAATAAAATCTTAAA